ATTCAACCTCTTATTGTCACTCTTGAACTCTGAATTAAAGAAAAGAAAGGCAAAAGCCCCTCTCTTAAGTACATGTCCATATAATACCTTTAGTTCCAGGTGGCCACATACCATTATACTGTTTGCTCTGGTATGGTAACAGACAAAAACGTGGCAGTACAGCAACAGTCTACTTGAAAAGGGGTTGCATAAGGCTACCTTATGAGTAGTTCCTTACTTCAGAGAAAACCTTCAGTTAGCTAAAAGACTCATGTGTAAGTTCCACCTTTTATGATCCATAACTTTTGACCAGAAAATTGTAGTAACATGGAACAAAGAGCTACTTCAAGCTCTCGTTTTGCTAAAACAAATAGACTCCATTTTGACCCTGTAGCTCCACCACAAGACTGTAAAAAATCTATTTAAAAGGTTGTTATGCACAGTGTCACCATGGCAACCATAAAATTTCAAAATTTCTCTGCGCAAACTACCGGTAAATGTCCAAGAATAATTCATTTGAAACACCCGTGTACCCGAGCCACGCATAGGCGTGACGCGAGGGTAAAGCAGTCGTTTTGTCTGTGTGTGTGTGTGTGTGTTCGCTTGATCTCCACTTTTGAGCTGACACTGCTTTCTTGTGAATCTGCTTTCTTGGGATATGATCCTAATGGTATGATCTTTATAACAGTGAGAGGGGTGGATAGGATAGGTGATATACTGATTGGATAAACAACATGTGGCTGACCATCAAAGTGAGAAGAATTATTTTATCATTCTTCACTATGCTAACAGACATTCCCCACTTGAGATAGCTTTGTTCTTCTATTGGATACATTGTCAAGTAACATTAGGCTATTGCTGGCTTATACTGGTTATAATTTACTTTATAGTTGATGCATAATAAAAGTTTATATTCTAATTTCCTGTAATCCTGTGGAACTATTAGTCTAGCACCATATATTTATATTTAATACAATAGGCATTTGACCTGCAGTCATTCATCATTCATGTAAAGCCATCTTACTGTATGGTATACAGTGAATAAGAGAATAACCTGTGAATTTATTTGTGGGTCAAATTTATCACAGCCCAGAGTGAATGTGTTATGTTGTTGCAAAAGGTTGCCATTCTGCACACATATAATAATTTCAATGGAGAAGTATTATGATAACTTGTTTTGCAAGAGTGTTTGGGCTGTTGGGTTTGTGGTTATGTATAGCATATAAGTTAGTCCTGTGCTCTATCTGTGTTAATTAATTGTAGGGGCTATATGGAAACCAGCATTTGAATTAATGTCGCCATAACTATAGACCATAGCAGGTTGTATAAGCCACAATGCACTATGATAATTAAACTAATTAATAGCCTAGAAAAGTACTAAAAGCAAAGAAGTTAAACATAAACGGCAAAAATCAAAGTAAATAAACTTTAAAGTCTAACTACCTAATGTAAATCTGATATCCCTTCAAATAAACATCTTCATTATCACTTCCTTCATCAAGACAGAGTCTCAGCTCAATAGAATCACTGGTTGGAGGATTAATAGTCTTACTGAACCATGTGGGCTTACAGCATGCCTTTTCACTGGTACCACATCCCCAACCATCCCATAATGGATCATGTCTATAGAAATAGTGTGGTATTGTAGGTGTATGATGACTCCCTGATTCACAGTAATAATCATGACCAACAAATGATGGCACACCTCTTGGATTTGCATACCATTTGGCACATGGACAGTAGCTCCTATGGCCATTGCTTTCTTGGCCGGCTATGAAGGTCCAGATATGATTTCTGGTTCTACCATGGGTCAAGCTAACACCATCGACATATTTTGAATCAATGTTAAATCCAGGACCATGAGCTCTATCAGTAGTTCCTACCTGATAGCCGACTAGTTTTCCATAGATTTTTGAATACTTGAAGCCCTCAACTTGAAAGTAAGTGCTGACACAGCTCTCAGTGTTAGTGTAAGGTCAACCACAGGCTCAAATACCATTGCTTTCAATAAGTCTAAACCCTGTTGGACAGTCCCTTGTGTTATACAGATCAAGATGGGCTATCCTAATCCATCCTTTGTTACCATTGTATGGTAAACTGGACATGTGACAATAAACTTTGTCAGAGAACCCAACAATCCTATAGTATCCTGAGGGACTGTCTGGGAACTTTTGTAGTATATCATAGCATGAGGTGAAGAAAGGATCAGAAGAATAGTTTAAGACTTTCTTGATATCAGCTGAGAGAGAAGATACTGCTTCTTTAGTGAAGACACTGTCTCTTGTAGTGCAGATACATTTGCCTCCAGTGAAGCTATATCTGATGGCCCATTGCAGGTATTGCTAATCTGTGAACTGAAACTGGCCACTGATTTCTCAATTCTAGAGCAGCAGTTGACAGCATTGAGAGTATTCTGAGCGATGGCAGAAGTAGCAATGCAAAGAATGAGAAGAGAAGAACAGTAAAGGGACATAGTCATATCTCTTGGAATTATCTGGTGCTCTACTCTATAATCCTATTGATCTTTATATGCTGAGAGAAGTGGATCAATGGTACTCTATTATACTAACAGATATGAACCAATCTTTTGATAAGCTTCATTCTCCATTGAGATACAATCTAAATTTATGACCTTACACCCTCAACTCAATAGGCTTTTGAGTCCTGATGACCTGCAGCCATTCATCAATAATAATTATTGAACTGAGTAGTATACTAGTACTCCAGTGAATTTAAGTGAATAAGTAAATATGCTGTAAAATTATTTGTGGGTCACAACACAGAGTGGATCTGTTATAGTGTAACATTGTGCATGTGCAAGCAGACTCACTCTGCATGTGCTGTGTAGATTTGACCCACAAATAAAAGCATGTATACTTTTTCAGTGAAGAAGCTATTGTTATGTAGCCAGTTACATGTTATTGACACACGTGCATGCACTGTAAAGTTGACATGACCATATCTTTTACTTTTGGCCGAAATTAGCTCAAGTTTCTTCATAACATTACCTCATAGTTTGATGCAGCCCCAGACATGTATATATGCATGTATTTAGATTAACCTGCAAACAATTTACAGTAGCTCTTATAGCTATGCATGAATTATGAGTGTATAACTATATAAGAATGTAAATCACTATGGGCTATTATATAGGCATAGCCTATATGTAGGATTCAGATGAATTTTTCATTATTATTTATAATGTAGTGTTGTCTGTAATGAGTGTTATGAACGACCTGCGGCAAACCTCAAGTTATAAAGACAATTCATAACCATAATTCTCTTAGTTAATTGAACAAATAAATTCCTAGAACAATAGTAGAAGCAAAAAAGTTATACATATAGCAAAATCACAGTAAATAATAAACCTAAAGTCTACCTAATATAAATCTCATATTCCTTCAAAAGAACATCTTCATTGTAGCTTCCTTCATCAAGACAGATCCTCAGTTCAATAGAATCACTGGTTGGAGGATTAACAGTCTTACTGAACCATGTGGGCTTACAGCATGCCTTTTCACTGGTACCACATCCAAAACCATCCCATAATGGATCATTCTTATAAATATAGTTTTGTCTTGCTGGTATATCATCACTCCCACCTTCACAGTAATAATCATTACCAACAAATGATGGAACACCTCTTGGATTTGCATTCCAATTGGCACAAGGACAGTAGTTCTTATGACCATTGCTTTCTTGGCCAGCTATAAAGGTCCATATGTGGTGTCTTGATCTACCACGGGTCAAGCTAATGCCATCAACATATTCAGAATTAATGTTGAATGCAATACCACTGCGAGCTCCATCAGGAGTTCCTACCTGATAGCCGACTAGTTTTCCATGCATTTGTGAATACTTGAAGTCCTGAACTTGAAAGTAAGTGCTGACACAGCTCCCGGTGTTAGAGTAAGGCCTGCCACAGGCACGAATACCTTGTTTTTCAATAAGTCTAAATTCCTTGGGACAATCCTTTGTGTTATACAGATCAAGAAAGGCTATCCTAATCCATCCTTTGTTGCTATTGAATGGTAAACTGGACATGTGACAGTAAACTTTGTCTGAGAACGCAACAATACTATAGTATCCTGATGGACTTCCGGGAAATTTTCTGAGTATATCATAACATGAGGTGAAGTGCTGATATGTAAAGTACTGATATATGTGTGAGGATTGGTTTACCAGTATTGTAAGATCAACTGAGATATCAAATATTCTTTGTTGTAGTAAGAACATTTTTGCTTGTAGGAAAGATATATGTGAAGATACTGTTGCAATTTTAATAGATAACTCTGATTTCATTATGGATATTTTATTAGATAGAAAAGATACCTCTAATTTTAATATCGATATTTTAGTACATACTTTTCCTTGCAATGAATATACTTTTTTTGATAGTGCTGCAATTTTAGAAGACAATTCTGTTTGCAGTGAAGATACATTTACTTGCAATGAAGATACACGTAAAGATACTGCTGATGCTGCTGCTTGTAATGAAGACACGTTTAAAGATACAGCTTCTATTTTTAAAGATACCTCTCCTACTTCAGTAGACACTGTCTCTTGTAGTGCAGATACATTTACTTGCAATGAAGATACATGTAAAGACACTGCTGATACTGCTGCTTGTAGTAAAGATACTTCTGAAAATATAGCTTCTACATTTAAAGATACTTTTGCTACTTCAGTTGACACTGTCTCTTTTAGTGAAGACACATCAGTAGACACTGTCTCTTGTAGTGCAGATACATTTGCCTGCAGTGAAGCTATTGCTGCATCTGATGGCCCATTGCAGGTATTGCTAATCTGTGAACTGAAATTGGCCACTGATTCCTCAATTGTAGAACAACAATCATCATTCTTAGCAATGGCAGAAGTAGCAATGCAAAGAATGAGAAGAGAAGAACAGTAAAGGGACATAGTCATATCTTTTGGATGCTCTACTATACTGGGGGTATGATCGTAATGGTATGATCTTTATATCGGTGAGGGGAGTGGATAGATGATATACTTATAGGATAAACAGCAGGCAGTTTTACCATCAAAGTGAGAACAATTATTTCATTATTCTTCACTATGTTAACAGACATTCACCACTATTGAGACCTTTGTTCTTCTATTGGATACAGATATCAATAGGCTATTGATGACTTACTTGTTGTAATTTACTTTATAGTTGATGGATAATAAAATTAGATTTGATTTTCCTGTAGTCCTGTATAACTATTAGTCTGGAACCATACACAGTTAACCTCAATTTTTAATAGATGCAACTTAGCTACATTTTATTAGCAATTTGATGCACAGTATGAAATTAATGATACAGTCGCAATGGTTAACCTTAAGAAATAGTAGCTATTGAAAATAAGAGTATCAAGGTTACTTTTAAATACAGGTACAATTATTTGCAAACTTTGCGTTCAGGTTAAAAATTGCAATTATTAATAATGCCATTATAGCCATTAGTAATAATAAGAGTAGATAATAATTAGAGGAGAGTGTCCTACT